TTGCCGACATATTTGGAGGTTATGTGTATTCTCTATGGCTAGTTTCAATACAAGGTTGTCAGATTTCGATTGTGTCTGTTGAACGATCGATCTAACCAAACATTTAATAATTTTGACTGCAAAGGCGTGTAAAATTTAGTTTTTTTGCCATATTTTCGTCTTCTAGATGGAATCCGAAATAGAGTAGGAATGTTCTGCATAGTCGCTGGTGAAATCGATTTGTTCCTTTAACACCAATCAAATGATTTTCATCCAGTTTCTAGAAGATAGAACTTGAGTTTTGCAGGATTTTGGAAACCTTTTTTCTTCGAGACATGTTGGAATACCTCCCTGAGTGCAGTGATGCCAACTTGTGGGAAATTTCCCTTTTCGAGGAAATTTTTGGACGAAATTATTTGAAATGGGAAAAATATTAAAAATACATGTTTTCATGGGAAGTTTTGTTAGCTCAAGGGAATAAAATTAAAAAATACACGTTTTTATGGGAAATTTTAAGTATTTTTGGGAATAAAACTAAAAAAATTTATGAAAATCGTCAGCCTCTTGCAGCGTTGTCATGTTTTAAAAGTTCCCAAAAATCATCTTATCCTTGCCTTGTCAACATAGTCCAGTGTCAACACCAGTCAGCGGTTGAACTGTCAATATTATTTATTTATTTATCATTCACGATGTCTCCATGGTACTTAAACCAATAACGTTTAGCGTTCTGCTACGAGATGGCTCCACATCCAGGCTGTAAGACTGTAGTTGTGAGTACGCTGTAAGCTGTCACCGCCAATAGCTCCGTTCCAACAGACATGAGAACCGTTCTAGAACGGTAATTTCCACTATTTCCAGTTGTCCACTTATTTTTCAATAAGTTGAACGTTTATCCTAATTGACAAATGAATTGATCGACTGGAATTATTGAGACTAGAAATGAGCTAAAATGAACTTTGTTCCTATACAGCAGGAAACCGTACTATGTAGGTACTGTCACGATTCTGCGCAAACTCTAAAATTTATGCGTAGAATCCAAAATTCGTAGGTATACAGAGTGGTTTCCAAACCGTTCGTGGGACGGTTTTTGAACAGACCTGGTAACCATAAATGATAACAGCTTTGTTCCAACCCAGCAGGAAACCGTAATATTAGGATTCTGCGCAAAACCGAAAGTTTTTACGCAGAAACCGAAATTCGTATACCGAGTGGTTCCGAAACCGTTCTGGGACGGTTTTTTGACGAGTTGGGACAAACCTAACAAATCCAGCGCCCGGATTCTATTTAACGAGTCGAGTTGAATTGACATTCGATATCGATATTTGACAATTCGATACGAATTTCGACTCGACTCGTAAAATAGAATCCGGCAGGTGAGAAATTTTCATTGTGCATGGTGGGAGAATTTGGGAATTTTTACCTCAATGGAATTTGTACACATTCGAGTGGGAAATTTCATTCTAAAGGGTTGGCAACACTGCCTGATTGTCTGTCTTATCCAACTTTCAACATCTTGATTTGCTTTTATTTTAACATGAATTTTGCAGGATTTTGGAATCCTGTTTTCTTCGAGACATGTTGAAATGCCTCCTTGAGTGTTTTTCTTTTTCAACTTTCAACATCTTGATTTGCTCTTATTTTAACATCTCGATTTGTTCCTTCGACATCAATCAAATGATTTTTATCCAGTGTCGAGAAGATGGAACTTGAATTTTGCAGGAATCCTTTTTTCTTCGAGACATATTGAAATGCCTCCTTGAGTGTTTCTCTTTTTCAACTTTCAACATCTTGATTTGCTCTTCTTTTAATATCTCGATTTCTTTCATCAACATCAAAGGTCGACCAAATAAACTAGATAAAAGCAATTTTGCCAATCAACTTTTATAGTTGCTATAAAACTTAGCAACATGTTATTGAGTTCTAAATCTCGGTTATACTTGAAAACTAAAATAAATTCGTCGTGAGTGGTAATTTCAGTGGCAATTAGTGGTAATGACAGTGGTAATTACTGGTATTTAGAGGAAATTAGAGGTAATAAGTGGTAATTTAAGTGGCATTGAGTGGTAATCCCTGAGGCAATGCAAGGTAATACAGGAACAAAGTGGTAATTTCGTGGCAATTAGTGGTATTTAGTGGTAATTTCAGTGGCAGTTACTGGTAATTTGTGGTAATTTTTGTCAGAAGTGGAAATTTAGTGTACACAGTTCCACTACTGAAATCCCCCTCGTCTTAGAACGAAGTACATGGAGCGGATGCGAAGATCTGTTAAAAAGCTTTCAGTCATTGCCCATGACGAAAACTCTCCCAGTTGTTCACAAGAGAGTTTTATCAGCAGCTCCAAAAATAAAGAACGATTTATGTTCTACCTCAGGAATAAGTTTGCCCAAGCGAACATGACAACCTACCAGACAGTGGAAGATGCTGACATCCTGATTATCAACACTGCTCAGTCCTTGGCTTTGCAAAACAAAAGTGTGACAGTGGTTGGCAAAGATGTTGATCTTCTTGTGATCATGATCGGAAAGAAAACATCCGAAAACATATACTTTATTAAACCTAGAAAAGGAGCGAGGCCATCCACCTTGTACCATCCATCCGCACTGCCCTGGATGAAGAATTTTCAGGTTTTATACTCATTCTTCACGCAATCAGTGGCTGCGGTTCCTCCTCTTCGTTTTATAATCAGGAGAAAATGAAATGTTTGAAAACCTTGCGAAAGGATCCTAAGCTACTAAAAAAGATGGAGGTTTTCTATGATCCCGATGCCGACAAGAATGCATTGATTGATGCGGGTGAAAACTTTTTCATATCTTTATATGGATCCTCCTCCTAAAGCATCACATTGGATAGATTGAGATACAGACAGTATGTTACAGCGGCATACAAAAGCAACTGTAACATGGCAATGCTCCCTCCAACGAGTGCTGCAGCACAGCACCATATATTTCGTACGTATCACCAAGTGCAAGAATGGCTGGGAAATCCATGTGAATCCACCCAATGGGGGTGGAAGAAAGCAAAGAATAGACTACTCCCAATTTTGACCAATCTCCCATCAGCATCGCCAGAGCTACTGGTCGACATATCGTGTGGGTGCAAAAAAATTGCACACGGAAATGTAGCTGCAGATGTGTAGGGCTTTTCTACACCAGCATCTGCAGATTCTGTGAAGGAAGATGCACCAATACAGATCCTGTAAATTTGCTGGAAGAGGCAGAGCAGGAGGGGCTACAGACTGACGACTTTAGATCACTTCTGAAGCCGAGAACAATGAAGGTAAGAAAACATGGAAGTATGGAGTTAATATGATCTTATGTGATTAGTTCTTCTTAGTGTTCCTTCTTTTTGCAACCATTTAAACTTTCTATCATCTCTGTTCTAGACAATGATGAACTGCTCGCTTTCCCAACCACGAAACTTTCCGACCGGAACCAGGATCCTCCACCCAGGCCAAGCAGCTCCAAGAGAGGCCTAGTAAATGCAGATATTCTTCTACACAGTCTCTCAGTATGCATTTCTTTTTTATTTATCATTTGATTTCCATTAGTTTTAAACAGTATTCCCTCTTTTTCAAAATCATTTTACCTCGGCATTATTTTTGTTGCAGATGATGATGAAACGATCACCATTACATCCATGAATGATTACTCACCAGAACCAGGACCTTCGACTCAGGCCCATCAGCTTGAAAATACAGCTATTGTATTTTCAATGCCTATTTGGAAGTACCATTCTTGAACATCCAAATAAAATTAGGTTAGGAATATCCTATTTGTACATGAAATTGACGTATTAGCAATCGACGTTCGTTTTTGTTGATAACTTTTTATTTCATCCGATTCGTGAATGATAAATGAGGTTGGGGTTATTTTAATCTAAATGGGTATTAAAAATACCATACATCCTCACACTCTGTCAAACGTAGATGTTCTGATAAATAGTCGCACAGTATAGTATGCGTTCCTACGATCATCTAGCAAATGATTCAAATACAATACGATCTGTTTTTTGTTATTAGTATATTAATTTTCCCAATAATTTCCTCCTTCACCTACCAAAACTACTGGCGGTTGTAGCAACATTGGTTTCTTATTTATAACATGTATTCAACACACCTAAAAACATGAGTAGGACTGCCCCGAACAATATTTAATAAAATTTAGTTTATATTATAAAAAAAAAACATGAAATTTTAATAAATTGTCGAATTTTGGCTAGAGGCGACCAAGATGTCGCGCGGCAAAGTTGAAATTCGAGTTCAGCACGCCTGAAAACATAAAGATCAGTCATAAAACCTAAGCCCGCGATTTTTTCTTGCCTTAACTACCAATTTCCCGGACTATTATGAGAATTTTCAAAATAGAAATGGGAAAAAAGGGAAACAACTTCCAGCTAAGCTTAAAAAAAATTCGATGTTTCACTTTGGATGAACTCAATGTTGTCACATCCAGCATCATCTTGAAATTATCCTATTAGTCATGACTCAATCTCGCACAGAATGCTCTTCTTCGCCTTCGACCAGAGGATAATCATCAGTTGAAGCAGATCATTAGGCGAGACAGCTACAAGCGAAGGCACTAAGACAATATAGTTATCCATGACAGGCTGTTTGTCTAAAATTCTTGAAGCGCATCAGGAATGCACAGTGACTAAACGGAAAACTTCAGAAGAAAATTAAAGTCGTAGGTGGTTTGTCAGAAGAGAGAGATGGCATCAATTTGGCTTTAGAGCAGGTCACTCTATTGATTACATGCACTCAGTACATTAGAGCTCATTACTAGCGTATTCAACTGAAAAAGAGTGACAGGCGTAATTCTGCTAGATATCAATCGAGCCTTTGACCGAGTAGGGCACAATGCGTTAACATACAAGATAATATAAGCCACATACCGAGCAAAGACTTGCAAGCTTAGAAGGCCCAACATACCCAAGTAATACAATCTGACAATGCTCGAGAGAGAGAAAGGCTTTCAAAAAAGCAGTTTCAGTCACTAACTTTTCGAAAATTCCCGGATGCTTACCTTGATCAAAATAAGGCTGCCACTCGTACAATTTCCCTTCATAGGTCTTGTTGTTGTTCCAGCTACACTGCAAAGCTCTGTAAGTAGGCTCACCTTCTGGACATGGATCAGTATTACAAATTCTGTACCTTTTTCTTTCACCTGAGAATAAAATAACAATAAAATTCAATTTAAATACCACTGGAGCAGATAACTACTAATACAAAGAAGAAGTAAACATGCAATGGATGACTTCTTACCAACGCAAAATTTTCCTCCAGCTGTGGGCATAGGATGATCACATTCTCTGCTCATAATCGACACACCTGATCCGCATGTTCTGGAACATTCTGACCAGCTGCTCCATTCGCCCCAGCCTCCGTCTATTGGTGTTGGTGGATCCATTATTGGGACGCATTTTTGATCTTGGCACCACTAAATAGTACAAGTAAAAAGAACAATTTCAACAATGAAGAAAAAATATTAATGACTAATACTTTTACCTTGTGCTTTCCACAGTTTGTGCCAGGAGCAGCTGGTCTCAACAAAGTCGTGCAAGCGTCATTTATTGTACACCAAAGTCTTGAGCATATGTCATCTAGAGGCGAGCAAACTGTAGCATCTGTTGTACCAAATTGAAATCTAATTGAAAAAGAAAAACGATACAAAAATTATAAATTAATAAAAAATCGTGTTCTCACCTGCATTGGTAATTGGCATTATACATAGCACCAGCTGGTAAATCTGGATACTGATATTCTTCAATTGGCTCTGGTTTATCTTGAAGACATTTGCCTAATCCTTTACTAAAAAAAAAATATGATTTTAAGTTTTCTAATAAAAATTTTAATATTCCAGTATAATTAGGTATATAATGTGTATATAATACACATAAAATCATGTTGGCTATAGTAATAGAGAGTCTTTTAAATAGGAAACTTGAAAAGAAATTCCCCAAAGGATGAAAAACGTCAAAGAGTTTCACAGGAAAAAGAGTTTACCAACTCTTTTAAAGTCTTTTCAGATCGCTAATAAACGCAACGGTAAAAGCATCGATTTTTAAATTTCTTTCTAAAGGAAAACCGGATATGAGGTTTTCCCTTGGCGAAAGGTTAGAGAGTGCAAAAAGAAAGGCAGAAAAAAAAACACCTTCCTGATATGTTTGGTTGGGTTTATTCATTCTTTGTATATTTTTGTGTGCAAAGACGAAGATTAATTTTTTTTTTGGTTTTTTAACCCGGAAAGGATCGCACCGCTTTATTAAAGGTGTTACATTAATTCTAATAAATAAAAGTTTGAAAAAAATCCTAATATAACTTTCCAGAAAACTAAGGTGTGAAAATGACTAGGAGAAGGATATCCATTAGGATGAACCTGATTTTAAAGCTCTATGGGAAGTCAAATTTTCAAATGAAATGCAAATCCTAGTCAAACGACTAGGAGAAAATTCAATATCGATTTGTAGTTGAACAAGCTACGATTTTGTATATATAGGTACAGGTCAAATATATCTAGGTATTTAGGAAAAAAGAAAATGCAAACCTTCAAAGCATACTTATAGGAATATATTGGAAATATAAAAGCTTCAAAATACCTCACGAATTCTTTTCAACTAGGCAAGCCTTTGATGTTGTTTCTTTTAATGATACTGATCTGCTATTTTTGCCATGTTTAAAGTCAATACCTACGGTATAATGTGAAAGTTTCCAGGCAAAAATTAAAGCAATTTATTCAAGCTACAAAAACTGAAAAAGACAAAAAACAGAAATTTAAGTAGGCGCGTCATTGTCCCGCTCTGGAAAATAACTTCATACATAATCAAATGAACTTGGATAAAAAAATCAACTAAGAAAAAGTTATTCAAAGATCTCCATTTTTACGGCCCATTCGCAGTCTTTTTGAATAAGACCGTAGGCAGGGCAAAGTTCGAGCATTATACTGATGTTCCGTGACAATTTTAAATTGTTTAATGACGCAGAAGCAGAAAATCGCCTTCCTAATATTGAAAAAAGATGGAAAAATTATCGAATTTAATTGGAGAAAGTAGGGCTTTATCCTACCCGAGTCTCGTACAGTCACAGTGATTTAGTGGATCACGATAAACGCCCAAACCACTGGACTGTCACGTCTCTTTGGTATATTATATGATCCTGCTGCTATAAAAGATAAGCTGCTTATGATAAATATCTTGATGTGACACGCGGGAACTGTCAGGAGTGTTTAAAACACGAGGGCTTAATCTTTTCCGGATAAAAAATGGTTTCTTTTTGACGATTTTACATCTTTTTTATTTTCCATGAAAACGTTTTCGATAGGTATTATGAGATTAGTTATCTGTCAGGGGTGAGACGATTTTTTAGAATCAGCACGACAATTTTTCAAGTGAAACTTTTGTCGATGTAAACTTCAACAACTAAAATGTGACAATGTATTTTTATTCTCCATTAAAACGGAGTTTTGCTCCATCTGACCGAATAAGATATTTTACCGAAGAAATGAGAGAACCGTAAATTTTATTGTAATGTATAGACAGTTATATTAAAGTTTTTATTGTTTAATTTTATAACTCAACCAGAGATTGTCATAGTAAAACGTATATCTAATGTAAATAAACCGAAGTTTTAATACGTTGATATACATTGAAACCAATTGCAAATTGAAAAAAAAAATATATAGGAAATTATTGTTTTGAAATATCAAGCAGTTGCTTGTTGGATTCTTCGTCCAATCCATCATCTTATTTTTTCTAAAATTTATCTCTCTTCAACAATTTATAATGAGTAGGCCCTTGGGAGAGTCATACAATACCTCATTCCTCGGGAGAGGCGAAGATTTCACCATTTAAAACAAAAACATGACTGCTGGAAAAATTTAACCAATGCCCAGCGTCCAGCATTAGCAGGGTTACCTTGTCTCTTTCCCTAATTTGCTTAAAGCTTCCTGAGAGTTCCAGACTGTTCTTGAATTACAGTAAATGAGAGTAGGCTTGGCTCTCAGAACATATTTTTATGATTCTGTAAGTTTAAAGTCGATTCTGCGGCCTCCTCACATCCACCTCAAAGGTACGCACTTCCGTTTGAAATATGGTCGCATTGTTCTTTGTTGTTGACTGATGGATAACCTAGTTTTCGGTTTTTCACCATAAACGTCCACTCTCACCCCCACTGCCTGTCTTTGATCCATCCGTGAACAGACAAAGATCTGCAAGGCATGATCATTTTACACCCACTCTTTCCTTCTCGGAAAGACCGCTGTGTAGGATAGGGGTTTGTTGTGTGTGTGTGTGTGTTCTTGCCATAAGGTCCGTAGACCAAAAAGCTGTGTGTTTTGATAAACTCCAGCAACTTTCCACGTTCCCTTTGTCATCCATTTGATCTGTTGGTGTGGTATATTTTGTAGGTTATTTTTACGGTCCCTTGGTCCAGATAGATATGTTAAGGGGGAATTTCTAGGAGAAGCTTCATGACTGCTGTTGGCATTGGTCTGATGAGCATGTTATATAACCGCAGTATATTTACTTGGGTCCATCAATTCCCCATGACTTGCTTTAGATCCTGCGGCAGGTCCATAGTGAGAAGCTAGCTTTCTGTTTTATTTTTGCCAGATGGAAATTCTAGGTGAGCCTTTTATCTAGAGTAATTCCTAGATATTTGACTCCGTTTGCAAAAAGTACCACCGCCCCTCGTAGATTACCGGGTATTAGATGGTCAAGCTTCCTCTTCCTTGTAAAGGGCACTACAGTTATTTTGCGAGGATTTATTGTCATATCCTCACTCTTGCACCATGCATGTTTTGTGTCAATTATTTCCTGAAGGGTTTCGGAGAGTTTACGTTCCAATTTTTCCCCTATTAAAATTTGTCGTCTGCGTAAGCCTGCAGGTCGACTTCCCACAATTGGATTATGGCCAGCTGGTTGTCCACCAAAAGAGACCACAGAAGAGGAGAGAGAATTTCTCCCTGCGGGAAGCCCAAAACTGCATTATTTACCTTTGCAAGGTCGCCGTTATATACCTAATCTCAAGCATCTTCCGAATCCAGTTACAGATACGAGCTTTAATTCCTCTGGAAATAACTGCTACCACAAAGGAGTATAATTGGGGAAGGAGAGGATAGAAAGTAGAAAGATCGACTGCAAGCAAAACTATCAAATGTGCACCCAATACTGGCCTCCTTCACTTTCGTTTGAAATATGGTTGCATTGTTCTTTGTTGTGTCTGATGGATAACCTAGTTTCCGGTTTTTCACCATAAACGTCCGCTCTCACCCCACTGTCTTTCTTTGATCCATCCGTGAAAAGTCAAAAATCTGCAAGGTATGATCATTTTACACCCACTCCTTCCTTCTTGGCAAGGCCGCTGTGTAGGATAGGGAGCTTGTTGTGTGTTTTCTTGCCATAAGGTTCGTAGGTCAAACCGCTGTGTGTTTTGATAAACTCCAGCAATTTAGTGCGTTCCACGTTCCCTTTGTCATCCATTTGATCTGTTCGTGTGGTATATTTTTTAAATTGTTTTTGGGGCCCCTCTGTCCAGATCGATATGTTAAGGAGGAGCTTCATGACTGCCTGTGGCATTGGTCTCATGATCATGTGATATAACCGCAGGTTGGAAACTTGGGTTCAATTCCCCTTACTTACTATAGATCCTGCGACAGGTCCATAGTGAAAAGCTAGCTTTCTGTTTTATTTTTGCCAGATGAGCCTTTTAATAATAATAATAATAATAATAATAAAGTTTATTTACTAAGTTTACAATAGCAAGTTTACAGTGGAAAAAACTTACATCTAGCAAATAAACAATAATCACAGAAGCAGAAATTAATCTGCTTGTACGTGATGTTTTTATCTAGAGTAATTCCTAGATATTTGACTCCGTTTGCAAAGAGTACCACCACCCCTCGTAGATTACCGGGTATCAAATGATCGAGCTTCCTTTTCCTTGTAAAGGGTACTACAGTTATTTTGTGAGGATTTATTGTCATATCCTCACTCTTGCACCATGCAAGTTTTGTGTCAATTATTTCCTGAAGGGTTTCGGAGAGTTTACGTTCCAATTTTTCCCTTATTAAAATTTGTCGCCTGCGTAAGCCTGCAGGTCGACTTCTCATAGTTAGATTATGGCCAGCTGGTTGTCCACCAAGAGAGACCACAGAAGAGGAGAGAGAACCTCTCCCTGCGGGCAGCCCAAAACTGTACTATTTACCCCTGCAGGGTCGTCGTTATATATTTAATCTCAAGCATATTCCGAATCCAGTTACAGATAAGAGGTTTAACTCCTCTGGAAATAACTGCTACCACAAAGGAGTTTAATTAGGGAAGGAGAGAGGTTAGAAAGATCGACTGCGAGCAAAACTATCAAATGTGCTCCCAATACTGGCCTCCTTCACTTCCGTTTGAAACATGGTTGCATTGTTCATTGTTGTTGACTAATGGATAACTTAGTTTTCGGTTTTTCACCATAAACGTCCGCTCTCACCCCACTGTCTGTCTTTGATCCATCCGTAAACAGACAAAGATCTGCAAGACACGATCATTTTACACCTACTCTGTCCTTCTCGGAAAGGCCCCTGTGGATAGGGAGCTTGTTGTGTGTGTTCTTGCCATAAGGTCCGTAGGTCAAACCGCTGTGCGTTTTGATAAACTCCCGCAGTTTGGTGTTTTCCACGTTCCCTTTGTCATCCATTTGATCTGTTAGTGTGGTATATTCTGTAGGTTGTTTTAGGGCCCCTTTGTCCAGATAGATATGTTGGGGGGGAATTTCTACGAGAAGCTCCATGACTGCTGTTGGCGTTGGTCTGATGATCATGTGAT